CAAAACCCCAAACTCCACCCAAATCTAGATTTGGGCAACTGTAAAATCAGCTGAACAAATGGTAGAGTCAGTCTGGCACTCAGAAGTTTTATATCAAATTTATACAGCGTTTGTCAATTCAGAAGTTTCCAAACACTTTGGATTATGTCCTGAAGGGGCATACACACACTGGAGTTGTAATACAGTTTTCACCACACAGTGCATGGTAATTTGAACAAAACCAACAGAGAGTAAGGTAAGTTAAAGTAAATGTATTATTCAACCACCACAAAAAATTTAAGTAGTGAGAAAATAATTCTCAAAATTAGATGCTATTCAAATTTCAATATTAATATCCCCTCTTCCTTTGGCATTACGGAACTAGTGAGTATTCATTATAAAATCATATTCCCTAATACCCTTGGGTAACACAGGGAACTTTGTACAGAGAAAGAAAATGGTCTTACCACATCAGGAATACTGTGTGGGTTCATCTTATTGGCAAACTCGTCATTTAAGTTGCAGTTCGCCAAGTCGAATCTAAAATGAAAATAGGTATTTTATCCTGCCCTTCTATGTAAGTCTACAAAATTGAACTCAGTGTATCATATGTTTGCATTAAAGAGCAGCATAGTGTAAGTTACAGTTCCTAAGAAAGATAAATGTTTCCAAATGAACTACAGAGCAAAAAAAACCCCACAACAATACGCAGCTGTCCCAACTATGAATAACATTTAGAAGCTGCTGTTCCCAAATTCTTTTCAGTAGCACTCCCCAGCCTCCTGAACCCAACAGCGGTATCCACTGAGGTTCTGTTGGGCTCACAACAGCTCCAATAACATTCATGCTTAAGCCTGTTTGAGAATCACCTAATTTGCTTAATCTTACAAAAATTTTGTATTTGTCATTGCTGCATACGATACTCGCTATCAAACAAAAACATCTTGCCTGGTATTTCAAAAATCCCTCCCATCTATTTGTGTCTAAACTGTTATTCCAATCTGCACTCTAAAGTCAATACTTCATTTCTCTTATTACTAACAGCCCTTTTCCCAAGATGACCTCTGCTAGAAAAAATTTTTTTCCTGTATTAGGACCATCTCTTCATGGTTAAGATGAAAGATTCTATCCCTTTTGCTGATTTCATTTAGAAATCAGAACAATTCAAAACTTTATTGATAATACATAAGCCTGTAGATAATCCAGAGAATTCAGTCATTAAATAATCATTTAATAAAAAACAAGAAACAGAACAGACCCCAAGACAAGGTCGCCAGGATTCAGAATGTGCCCCAAGTGAGTACAGCAGAAATACTGATGATCTGTATTCAACTCCGAGGTTTTTTGTACCCAGGCTTCAGCCAGTGTATGCTTGAGGAATGAAAAATAAGACACTTTTGTAATCAAACGCAGCTTAACTTGCTGTGCTATTAGAACATTTGCACTGCTGTATTACTGTTTTAAATTACATTTGTAATTAAACTTGTATTCCTCTATCAAGCATCCAGTGTATTGCTTGCTACTCCTCATTTCTCACCTTTACAAAAGTAAGGAAATGGACATGCCAACCACTTTTCACAAGAATTCCACGAAGGCTGTTTCTATAACTAGACACGTGTTTTGGGAGGTTTTTACTTCAGAACTTTCAACCACATATAGCTTTTGACTGAGAAGAAAGTGTTTGGTACTGATTCATTAGTTCTGATTAAAAAGAAATGCTTCTATACTTCAACAAAAAAAATTTAGTAATTGAAGAGTTGCAAAGCTAACATAAAATAATTTCAATAAATGATAGTAACAAGTAGAGTTTAAACTCTTCAACCGAAAAGAATTTCTGAAAGTGGAATTCACATAACACCTCTGCAATTTCCAAACCAAAACACTGTCCACATCTTCCTGAGAAGAGCTTTGGCCAGTGGCAAGACACAGAAAAGCATACATCTGACTTTGCAAGGTAGAACGATTCAGAACAGAAGTTCAGCTGAGCAGGGGAGGGAGGGGAGAGGAAAGCCCAAAACATTGAATCAGAGAGGAACTCTTACCTTGTTTGATCTTGCCCCTGCACCTGCACCTTTTTTCTTTTCTTGAACCCTATTGATATCCATAATGATAAATTCCTCTAGTTGTTTTGGGTGGAACAAGCTATTGAAAGGGTGGCGCCAGTAGGTATTTCCATCAATTTCAGCAACTGGAAAAAAAAACACCAGCATGGGCAATCACAAGGGAGAGAATTTCTTGCGAAGAAATTAAAAGGAAAAGGAAGCATTTGCCAAAATTAAGGCAACTGCCAAATGCATTTTGTTCAAGTTTGTTATTGCAACACAAGTATTTAGGACATGACACATATTGCAAATTCGTGCGACGAGCAGTTGATCTGTGACAGCTGAATCACATATCATGTGTCTGAAGCATAGACCTTTTTATTCACAAGAATCATTCTCCTAGATGTATCCTTATTAGAAGTATTTTGCTGGTAGAGCTTACCAGCAAATACCAATCAAAGCACAGTGTTTCTGGTACCGAAGTGGCTAGAATCATAATCCAGGGAAAAAACAGATACCATCTAATTTTAGAGGAATATACCTGACAAATATAAGTGCTTAGCAGAGACCTAGAACATCCATGAACTTAACACTGACCCTGCACACTTTGCCTAGGAAACTATGGAAATCAAGCTTAAGAGAAGTGTGTCTTAGCTTGCTATTACATTTCTATGTCAGTGATTATACAGATACATTTACATCATTATGGTCTAAAAATAGAAGATTTCATGAAAACAAAACAAAAAAAAAAATTGTGCCAGCAGAAAATTCAGATGCTGCTGTAGTGCAGAAAAGAACTCATAACTTACTCTGTAGAGTGCTAGGATCGATGAGGTGGATGGTACTTGTTACTCTAATGCACACACAGATCTGGCTCATGTTACCAAGACTCTGTGCCAGTTTTGGTGAGAGACATACAACATTGTCCTGCATACAAACAGAAAATAATTTACACTCATATTTCCTTAATTTTTAATCAAGTCTTAAGGGAAATCTGAAATAGATTTTTAAAACTTGTGTTTTCAGTTCTCCACCCAATATCTTCCTCAAGATAGCTGCTATATGCACTTTCCATGCTTCATGGGAGTAGACCCCTTCATCCCCCCAAATACACAATAAATCAGGCCTCCATCACCAAAACCAAACTCTACCCACTTCATACAATACCCTGAAGATGAAACAGAGAAACTACCTTGCATATTGGAACAATTTCCACAGAGAAAGTGCTTTTGTAATTGTAGACATTACTATGAATATCATGTGAGATCAAACGTTGGGATGATTTTGATCTATAAAACATAAAAATAGAGCCTTCAGGCAGCAAGGACATTACTTGAAACAGGAGATAATCAGCACAAAGTACAGCAATGAAAGTATATCGCTATGTACTACAAATACAAAAATTAAGGAAATAGAAAAATGCATGAGGGTTAGTTTCACAGTGGCTCAAGTGGAAAACACGGGACTTCTGTAGAAAGGATTTTGTCTGTTTTAACTAGAATACAGGTTCCTTAAACTTTCACTTACAAAAATCTTTAAAAATGAAGGATAAAAGACATTTCCCAAAAGCTTTTGAGTACTCAAGGCAATAAACGTAAATTATATACCTAGATGGAACTGTACACTGAAGAAAGTCTACCATCTTCTGGGCCTGTTGCTTTGAAGAATAATAAAAATCCAGGCCATCTTAAAGAAAAGAAAGCTTGATGAACATCGCTATTTCAAGTACTATGTTTTTTTTCAAATACAATACATAAGCTAAGTAATCTGTTGCTTATCTGTACACAGCTACTAATGCAAGCACTCTTCCAATATAGAACAGGTTAGCCTTTTCTACCTCAAGACTAACAAGCCACCTCACTCACCATGGATTTCTTTGATGCGAAGTGTATTTTGATGAAGCCTGTGTTTTAAAATCAGCTGCTCCAAATAGTAGAAAGTCTTCTTGTGCAGAGTCTAAAACCAAACAAAGGTAAAATTATCAAGGTCATTTAAGAACCATCTAGTCCAGCATCTCTGAAAAATAAACATTTATATGAAGAGATCATCTAAAGAAGCAACAGTCCAAAGTCTATTCCGAATTATTATTATACCAAATTATCTAAAGCTTCTATTTCTCATTTTTGTGTAATTGGTTGCTAAAGATATCATTTTCTTTAAAGAAGATTTAAATATTTATAAACAATCTGTACCACTGTTTCTAACACTGCCTTAAAATGCAGAAGGATATTTAGTAATTCACACAAGATCCTCCTGCCAGCCATCATTTAAAAAGAATATGCTAATAAGACTGGACAGCAGAGAGAAAGTTTTTCTAAACTAAGATCAGTACGAAAAAAAACCAACATGAACACAAAATGTATTACTGTGGCAGTGTGCAAGTGTGAGGACATCTTTTTCTGAGAAAATCAAAAATTCATCCAAAGATTTATTTGCCTGCCTGATTGTTCTGCCATGAGCAAATGAAAATTCAGTTTGCCTCCACCTTTTGTCTGACTTGCACTACAGCTTTCCAGAAATCCTTAGCTTCAATCCTATGACAGTCTTCACACATTTGAGACTGAATTATATATTCCACCACAAATACTTGCTGAAGAACTGCTCCATTTATCACCTGCAAAACAAAAGTTTAAAAGGTTTCCTCATTAGTCCTGTCAAGACAGAAAGCTAGTTTACCACAGCATTCTGAAATAACTTCCATATTATACTATAACTATATGACTGGCAGCTATATTTGGGTCACAAATGTTAGCAGTATTTTCTCTACTTTACTGGAACAGCAGATAGCCTCTTCAAACTGTGATGAACGGCACTTTAATAACAAAATCGAGGCAGGATGAAATCAGTATTCTCTCAAGATAAGCCAGTAAACACATGCTGGATTTTACCAGAGAGAACGACTTATCTAAAATGTAATAATAATAATAAAAAATAAAGAAAATCATACTGTTTGCCATAAAAACTTATAAAAAGCCACATGAATACTATACGCCAGTTACCTCTTTCTGAACAGTCAGTTTCAGCTTCAGCCTCTTAGAATGTGGTTCAGTCCAAATAAAGCCTGCATCAATCAGCCGGACCTGCCAGTGGGAAAGGACAAGAACTCAGCTACTGCCAGCACATTGCACTAGTACACATGTTAAAAACATGCAGCTCTAACTACCAGAAAACACAGGTTTATGGTATAGTTCATTGTTCCTCAACCAAGTGAGGAAGTGAATAACCTTAATTAAAAACATACGTTATCAGTATACCAAACCCAACTAATAATGCTTAGTTAGAACCCAGAGTTTGATCTACCTAAAATAATGGAGATGCAACCTCACAGACTGTCAAGCCATAGTAACTGAATACGCTACTCAACAGGATCTCTGGATGCTATGTAACAATCAAGTTGGAGAATATAATGGTTTCTTCAGGACTTAAAAGTCAATTTAATCTCTAAAGCTAAGAACATGCAAATTTACTGCAGCAAAAGATATTTCGTATATCTAAGTACTAACCCAATAGCAATAAGGCAATCTAATTCAAACCTTGATGACTGCAGTAACAAAACAGGTTTTTTTTGCCTAAAACACTGTCTCAGATTTTTTCCTCTGATAAGATTCTGAACCTAAGAGATAGATACATTATTCAACATGTGACTTTCAAGTTTGTCTATATACAGACCTCTGCAACCCTTCTTCGTATCGTAGTAACTGGTAAGAACAAGTATTGTATAAACAATTTTAAAAATATGTAAAAAAACCCCTGTAAAATTAAGGTGCGTTAAAAATATATTAGCTTCCTTCAGTTAATTACACTCTACTCCCATTTAAACAATAACAATTGTGCAGTACACTGCATGCTCTGAAGTCGCAGAACTGCACTGCAGTAGCCTCCTCGGTATGCTTGGAAATTCTTTGTTAGGGCCTGTCCTTACTGAATCCTCCAAAATTCTAGTATGGAGTTATATGAGACCAGATTGTCATTCTCTATGCTCAACGTAAGTCAGCTGACAGGCTCTACACAAGTACAAATGGCTGCCCCAGAAGGATCGAACCTTGTATAAGTTAGCTGGACTTCACTTTATGCAATACCAATAGACACACTATGAAATACCAATAGAATTAGCTACTCACCTTGCTCAGTGAAGCTTTGATTTTTTTAAGACACAAAGCAAGAAGCTCTCTGGATTCTAAGGTACACTGAATCCAGGTTCCTGGAGGCTGAAGATACCTATGACACAGGAAGCATTTTCCAGCACATGAAGCTGCTTCAGTAAATTAAATCACTCAAAAGTTGAGCAGTTATTTACCAAGCTTTCAGTTTTATTATCAACTATGGAGCTACAACTTTTTGCCTCCCTAAGCATTATGATTCATGTGAATGCATTCCAAGTGCATTCACACTCTTACTACCATCCTTGCCAATTTGCCCACTTTTTTCTTTCAGGGACCACAAACTCACCCATTTCAATCTTCTAGACCCTACTTAGCAACACTTTTCCACTTCCACAAGAAAAAAACCACAGGAATGTGCTGGAAAATCATAAGAGACCCGACGAAAACACACACTGCCGGCGTACGCTGCCCCGCTTTCCACCCACACCAGCCACACCACGGGCCCGTTTCCCCCCCAGGAGTGGGCTTCGCCCGGAGGAGAGGGAGCAGGGCCCGGCTGCCCACCTTTCGCACTGCTTGCAGAAGTGGAGGGTGCCCTGCTTGGGGATGCCCTCGGTGATGTCCAGCTGCGCCCGCAGGCACCCCACGCACATGTTGGCCGGGTTGGGCGCGATGGGCACGCCGCACTGGCAGCAGAGGCTAGAACACAGGGAGGAAAGCTCAGTCACAAACAACAACTCTGCCCTCAGAGGTGACAGCTACGGGAACCCTCGGTAGGAACCGAAGGTACATGTACGTTTATTTATTTTTTTTTTTTTAAGAAAAGTTGTGGCCCAGGAGAGCCGTCGCCCGCCCCGGTTTATGGCCGCCC